GCATTTGCATATAAGCAAAAACGCATAAAAAATCATTTGTGTTTAACCCATTAAAACCAACTTATTTTACTTCCTGCAATATACTAGTAGTTCAACAGTTTACTTCCGCCTAGGCTCATACGGGACGACGCAGTAAGATGGTACACAAAAGAAACTGACTGGAGTGCGTCATTTAGTCGCTTAGTTTAGTAATAAGAAGCAAGTTTCTGAATGAAAGCTTGAATAAATGATGCCTGCACATCCTGATAATCTTGTTAACAAAAGTGACTACCAGCAGAAAACATGCACGAATCAGTCAACTGCAGTAAGCCTTTTTGATCAAATTCACCTAGACTGAATAGCGTGGAATGTTTGCAAAATTGGCATCTACTGAAAAAATGTGCCTGCTTGTTGCTCGCCTGCTGATGGCTCTCCTCCTCTAATGCCGAATGGATTTTCGTCGATTTTCGTCGTTCTTTCTCTTAGTCTGCCTAAATTCAATATCGTGGTGAAACTCAAAGTAGCGAGTAAAAAAGTGCATAAAAATTTATTTAAATGGTGGGCTGCGGAATTGCAGATTCAAGACCAAAGTGTGTGAACAAGAAAATGAATCCGAACAAGCAGGCCGCAGCTGTAGCTGAGAATCTGAAAGAAGCGGTGGCCAATGCTTTTGGCAGCGACACTATGGGTGTGAAAGATTTTGAAGCAGCAATGGATAATTTTATTTGTGATCCATCATGATAAAGAAAATAAACGCGTTATTTATTTCCTTCATTTTTCGCAACTATCAATCCGATTTTTGAGCAGGTGTCTTACAAACGTGCCGAACTGTCAGTAGAGCGACGTGGTGCTAAGTGGCAAAACGTGCTTACCGGGTGTCCGTGTTAGGTCGGGGATGTAAACAAGTGCATGTGACGTATGTGGTGCGGGGTGGGGTGTATGAAGGTGTGTGTTGTGGGGCCGAGGGGGAATCGAGATGCGTTGCTAGTACGTTGACGAAAATTGGAACTGAACTTTAACTGATTTATACTGAGCTAAGACTCGCTTGTACAACAAACAGTAGCCACACGCCGATCACAGGTGCTGATCTGTGGGGCAACAAACAAGGCCCAGACAAAGCCGGGATATCAGAAAAAAGGAGGTCTGGCGCCGTTACAAAAAACCGGCGCAGCTTCTCGGAATCTGGGAATCATGCAAACATCCGACCAGCTCGTAACACCAACAGCCCCATTAATCAGCAATGTTCGAAGAACGGATTTTGTGATTGTTTAAATACTTCCTTTTACAGTCGAGGGGCCATTTCGACCCTTACAGCACGAACACCTGATAGTCCACTGCACCTTTCGGCTAAAAAGCTGAATGTAATTATGGAGCCAACGGTTTTTCCAACAGTCAGTACAGATCGGTTGACATAATCAACTGTAAAACTCTTAAAACGTGTGAGCCTTTAGATATAGTGCGTAAAAAAAGCTTCTATAAATGGCATGAATTGATAGGCGGGTGGAATACGAAAGGTTGTTTCACTGTTTTTTCCTTCGTTATTATTTTTGTACTTTGTGTAGAGAAATGTAGCTCAAAGTTTCGCGAACGGAGATTGTTTTGCAAATGATACAGACCGGTAGGTCCAATCCTTCGGATCGGGACGTATTAGCCCCTATACTACCGGCCCTCGTGCTCAACCCAGTTCAGGCTGGAACGCACCAGGCAGGCCGGCGCGATCATGCAATTTTGCATTTTTCGTGCTGTCGCAAGATCGGAATGAATCACAGTAGTAAACCTTGTTACATACTGGCCGTCGAAGTCTGGGAATTTAATTGTGCAGCTATGTGATGTGTCAGTTGTAGATGTCCGCTTCAATAATCCGACAAACGGAAAGTTGCTGGTGTGCGAAAAAAGCCCCACTGGAAGAGTTAAATTTGAAATCTTTTAGTCGCGCATGGGTAGGGGACATTCCCCTAAAATTCTATCTTTCCGTCTCTTCTCGTCCCCAATTTAGCAATTTTCCCTCCAAAACTTTCATGTGCCCACATGTGAGACCCAGACAGTTCTCAGGAGCTGAATTTGAAATTTTTTGGTCTTGTATGAGTAGTGAACATTTTTCTAAAGTTTCAGCTTTCTAGCTTTTCTCGCTACCAAGATAGCAATTTTCCCGCCGCAATTCTCACGTGCCCGTACATGAGTCCCGGGCAGTCCTAGCAGCTAAATTCGAAATCTTTTAGTTATATACGAGTTGGGTACATTCTCCTAAAGTTTCAGCTTTCTTGCTTTTCTCGTTCCCGAGTTAGTAGTTTTTCCGCCAGAACCTTCACGTGGTTGGACGCGGATCCAGAAGTGCGTAAGGTTTGATACCGTGGCCCTGGGGTGGCATTTGGTCGGGGAACACACTGGCAAAATTTCAGCTTTAAAACTTGCGTGGTTGGCGAGCTGAAATACCCGG